TTTTGTACTAGAGAAGAAACACTTTATGGAGTTGGAATAGTGCTAAAGTCAAATATTAAGTAGAGGAAAAATTAAAGAATTCCAATTAATCACGAAACAGATTAAAGAATTCCAACTCTAAAGAAAAACTGCAGGTGATTTCTGTGTTGAATTTGCCACTTTAGAATAAATGATAAATTGATACACACTCCAAAACATACTCCCTCCTATTTTTTTTTAAATGTCATTCTAGTTTTATCAACTATTTGTCAAATAAATGTCGTTTTAAATATTTTGTACATATTTTGTTCATTATTACCCTCATTTAGCCAATAAATACATTACGTCTTTTCATATTAACTCTTCACTTTTTCTCAAGACATTCATATCTATCTTCATTAAATAGGGTTATTATTGACAAAAAAAATATTCTTAATTACCGTGTAACTTCTCAAAACGACATATATTAAAATTAAGAGGTAGTATTATATTTATATACTCTTAATTTCTAGTGCAAACTTAGATTAATCAATAAATTCGTGCAAGTAAAAGGGGAACAAAAAAAAAATGACACAAGCAAGAAGTAACACACTAAAACTATAAATAAAAGGGTTAATTACACGTAGAATCCTTACCTTTTGTATAACTGTAATTAAAACTCGATTTTTTTTTTTTTTGTAAACAAATACCAAACTTTTATTGTGTGTTACAAATTTGTTTCAAAACCATTTTCTGGTCAATCCTTGTTGATGTGTCCGATCAGAAATCTTACGTAGCACTTGGGAGGTTTGTGTGACATCAATCTTTGAAACTCCTCACCATATTTTTGCCACATCATATGCCAACAAATTACCCAAAATTAGAGTTTAGTACCAATTGAAAAAAATAAGATTTTATCACTATGTTTTTTGATCCATGATCTTCATAAAAATCGACTTCTTCTCCCTCAATTGAAAGAAAAATATTTGCAGCGATTCTTCTTTTCTTCATGGCACGATTCTTCACCCCCAAGAAGAGAGTTCACCCCTCACATTTCGAATACATTTACGAGCTCACCCCCAAAATTCTAAAAAATTGGGCAGAGAGAGAGATTTTCGAGTGATTTTTAGGCGATTTTAGTGTTCTGATCGGACACATCAACAAGATTGGCCGGAAAATGTTTCTGAGACAAATTTGCAACACATAATAAAATGTTTAATATTTATTTGCAAAAAAAAAAAAAAAATGAATTTTATTTAAGATTTTATGTGTAATTAAGCCTGCATAAAACTTAAAAAGCCAAAACCATAGTTACTTCCTGTCAGCATTATAAAATCAATGGCCTACATTAAACACATAATTGACAATCATTTCATTAAAAATTAGTTGTCGTAATTAATGATCCATAAATAACTCACCGTGACCTGTTATTCCGGTCGGCGCTGAACTTGCAGCTGAAAACCGGCTGTCTGATGTTCCCCTGAATCTGGAACACGACCGGGCTCACCTCCGGCTCACCCCCGAACTGGAACACGAACCGGGGATCCGGTTCGGATCGGACCTTCACGTGCAGGGCCGCCGCCGCCCCATCCCCGCCGAGCTTCAGCCACCCGTTCTGGCACACGGCGGGCCTCGTCTGGGCCTGGCCTAAGTCGACCCGCACTCGGACCGAGCCCATGGGCTTCCCGCGCGTGATCCCGCACGTGCGGCCCGTACGCCCCGTGAAGACCGAGATCTTGAGCGCGACGGAGGAGAGGGTCCGGAGGGCGTCCGGGCCGAGGTGAAATCCGGCGGCGGAGGGGGATTCCGACGGGGCGGCGAGTGGGAGTGGGACGAGGGCAGTTTGGGAAGGGAATTTTTTGAGCTTGATTTGGGCGTAGCAAGGGGTGGCGGCCGGGTGGACGCCTGAGCCGGCGGGTCCGGCGGCGGAGGGGATTTTGAGGGATAGGGATTCGACGATTAATCGGACAAAGGGGCAGGGATCCATTAATGTCAGTAATTTCGAGGTTGGGTTTTGATGAGCAGAGGTTTTTTGATGGGTGTATGTAATGTAATAATAAATGTGTGTTATGCTGTTTTCGAGTCTTTATTCATAAGGTTGTCTGTCTGATTGTAAGACTTCAACGAGGCCAGATGGATTGTCGTCAATCTCTCACAATAACTTAGGCCAATTTGTATATACTTTATTTTTTTTTTTTAAGAGTATTCGTCAAGTGGCATACTCGCGTGGTTCGAAATTTTATACAACAAATTTTATTTTAAATTTATTTTTTGGTCAAATTATAATTTATTTCTATTTAAAAATAATTAATCTTATAATATTCATAAACTAGTATTTGATCTTGTGCATTTGTACATATGTAAGCACGTTTCTGTTTGTATTTATTAATTAGACATGTATTTCTATCATATAAATATTATTACTTTTCTTTAAGTTATTTATATCATTTAAAATTAATTGAGATTTAAATTTTATTTTAACCATGCAACGTTTACATTAGTAACATAAATAAAATAATTTATCTATTTGTGGCATATATTAAGAAAATATACATATATACAAAAAATTATTGGTGTTTTTGATTTTTAGAAAAAAAATGTGTCAATCATATTTTTCTTTCAACAATGCAACCAAATATAACGGTTACAACTCTGAATGTGTCAATCAACTTTAAGTTCCAACATTACACATTTGAATATTTTGCTACCAAATTTAGAATTAATTAACTAATCTAAAAAATAAATAATAAAAATATATATATGAAGGTGTAACGGTTTTAGCAGATTAGTGAGTAATTAATTAAAAAAATGTAACTCCTTGTGGAGGAAAATGAAATAAGTTTTATTAAATGTTTTATTAAATGCATTAGCTAGTAATTATATATATATATATATGTATATATATATAGTAGTACAACGCCCGTATATTACACGGGTGCTTGCTAATTTTTTATTAAAATCTAAAATTAATGATAAAAATAATTGAAAAACTACATTAAACATAAATATATCAATTGAGAAATAATTTTATTTTTCTAATGAATTTTAATAAATATTATTATTTTTTATTATTATAAAGATAAATATGATTTATTTATTTCATATATACAATATGGATGTCAAATCAAAGATCATCAAAAGATGATTAATTTGATATATTATATATGTAAAATCGATAAGAAATACAAAAGTTATCAACTTTTAAAATACATTTACAATTCAATAGTTAATTGAAGGAAACAAATCAAAAGTCAGGAATATATTAGTCACTTATTGTCTCACTATGTAAAATTACAAAGAATTAAAGGGTTATATTAGTAAAAGTGATATTAAAATACCTAAGTTAACTAAATAATATTTATGAAATGTCCGAACCTAGATTATTAATTATTAATATATCAATATTATTTGTCCAAACCTAATTACGAAGCATGATTCTTTGTCAAGTAGGATTCTGAAGCACCAGAAACAACAACGTAGGCTCAGTGCATTCGAGAATAATATGTAGGGAGGTATACATATATATATATATATATATATATATATATATATATATATATAGATATACTACATATTTATGATTTTTCTTAGAACATTAATTACATTTTCATATTATTTTCTATTATATACGTGGTTAATAGGTCATATTTTATTTTATTTCAACATTTTTTTGCATCGCTCGTTATTATTATTAAAAATTACTACCTTAAATTAAAAAAAAAATTAAAATTTAATATTTTTATATAAATTTCTTATATATATTATATCAAATTAATCATGGCTTGATCAACTTCCATTTGAAATGTATATTTTTCTACAAAATAAATAATAATTATATTTTTTTTTACAATAAAAAATAGATAACCTATTATTATTAGTTGGAAAAAATTATATTTAATATATTTATTTAACTACAAATTAGTAATATTAACTTCAAAAATTATAGATTTATTTTCATAAAGAATAAAATATAAAAATAACAATGAATTAGTGGATAAATGGGTCTCACTCATATTTGCATTTAAAGGATTAAACAAATGTAGAAAAGTGTTTATATGGAGATATGATTAGTGGAAAGACGATGTGGATGAAAGAAAGTGTAAATTGTAATGATGAGTGTTTAAATAATCGGGGGAATTTCCACGTAGCTCATCCGGTTACTATGGCCTGCGGTCAAATGACCAAAAAAACTAATTTTTTCTACTTACATGACTATTTCGAGAAAAGGACCATTTGCGGGAATGAAAACGGGGGTGACTTAAAGGACGAAAAACCTTTTTTGCCTCGGATATATGATAGCTTGGACAACATTGTATAACAGTAACTCGGAAAACATAGTATGGCAGTAACTCAGACAACGTTATGTCACTACAAGAAATACGCCAAAACGTGACGAAAAAAATCGTCACCGGTGTCGTCATTTAAGCTCCATAGTATTTCGTATAAATGACACTTAAGCGCGCTGCTCGTCACTGATTAAGGACTCAAATGTTTCTTGGCGTAATAGGTCTAATTGAAAATACTGCAAAAGGTTCGAAAAAAAAAAAAAAAAAAAAAATTCCCAATTCACCAACCCTAACCATATCGACTACATCTATTTTATAAAACCACTCCTTTGGGCAATTTTTTTTATAGAAGTACTCATCCTTCAAACATAATAAATTTTAGTCCATAAGAATTTTTTAGTTTGCATTTTTACAAAATTATACTTTTTTTAGTTTGTATTTTTTTTATAGTCACTCATTTCTGATAATGATAATATAAATAGATATAAAGAGATGAAGCTTCATGTTCGGGCTTTTAATCAAAATTAGGTGTCAATATGCACACCCTCTTAGTATTATTAACTTGTCAATTTTATTAATTGTGTTCTAAGCATGGTTTAGAAAATCGGACCGGACCAACCTTCCGACCAGTTAGACCAAAACGCGGTCAATGGACCAAATCAGTTCGCTATAATGAATGAACCGGTTGCCAGTAGACCACTTGAAAACCGGTCAACGATCGGTTGAACCGGTCAATACTGGCCAATAACCGGTCCAGTCAGACTTGTTGAACCGGTTCAAATTTTAAAAATAAAACTCAAACCTTAATATATTTTAAATAAGATAAATAAAAAAAATACATATTTAAATGTAATGAATATATACAAGCCATTATTAGTTAGTTTAAATATTTGAATGTTTTAAATTAATTTAAAATTTAAAGTTTTCTATATTAAGTTATTATATAAAATACTATATATATTTTAAAATAGTTATAAATTAAATATCGGTCCAATTAGTGTCGGACTACTAAACCATTGAACTTGTAGCTTGACTGAGATACAATTTTTAAAACCTTGGTTCTAAGTAATCAATCAGGCGCCACTTCAAGTTCTATACGTTTTGAATCTAGATCAATCAACACATGTCAGTGAATACTTCAGGTAGCTGTGTTGTAAATTGTAATAGCCAAGTGCATTTTCAAAGTCTTGCCACATAAAGTTCACATTCAAAATCACATAAAAACTGCACTACCCTACCCTGGCTTATATTCAGTTCCGTGTCTATGCATATATCGGGCGAGTCACAACTACAGCAGTCAACAGAAGTTTCAAGAGCATATGCCCTGCTTGCAAATGAAAAGTTGATATAATATCACCCTCCGAGACGATATGATCTTCCTCTGAATGCGCCACTTGTCCTCTCCGGCTGAGGGGGGGCATTGTACTCCGGTGCACCTATTTTCCACCTTGCAACTAGTTTATTACTAAAAGAAACACGAGTTAAGGGTGACAAACTAGTCCAGAAACAATTTGAAGTATCCAAACAAGTCACAATACTATTAACTTCTGTTTGATAAAAGTTTGGTTGTGCATGA